AGCTCCTGGAATCCACAGGATACCCCCCCCCCCCCCCCCCCCCGGCAACCCAGGTTTCCATTTTTTAAAATGTCTCCATTTCCTCTTCACGCCCCTGCTATTTCTCAAGTTTCTCATGTTCCTTTTGAGTTGCTGTCACTTAGAGTAGGAACTCTTCATCAAACATGATCACAATCTCCATTTATTAGCCATTATCACACTTATTAGTTCTCCCTATTTAGTGGATCTTTTAATTAAATCTTACCAGTAATTTGTGTAAAGGATCTGATTCAACATCAGGAAGCATTTAAATACAGAACAAATCTATTCAGTATATAGGCTTCAAATATTGATTGGGCTTTGGTTATTTTTCTGTAATATATTCATTCCCCTGTTTTATTTCTTTTTTTTTTTTTACTTCTTTTATTCTTTTTAACATTCATTCTTTTTATACAGTTTTATTTCCTTAATATGTACTGCCTTTAGTGGCAGCTGTGGCCGTTTTAAAGGGCTCTATAAATAAATTTGAGTTGAGCGGAGTATAGTTTGGATGTAGGACAACTGTCATAGAATAGGGACCATATAGCTAAGACTATCATTATTATCTTTTTTGGTTAAAATCTAATCAGGATGCTAAACCAGTTTTTGGTGAAATTGCCCCAATGTAGTTAACGAGAAGGGTCCCATATACTTTAATTAGATTATTGTAAAAACCCAGCCCCCATTAGTACCTATGTACCAAAATCCCTATGAGACCAATAAATATGTGTCAATTGGCCATATATATAATTTTATATATGTATTCCAAGACTCAAAAAGGGCTGAAATAGTGTTTTAAAAACCCTTTGGGACATAACTACACCAGAACTTTGATTTTCTAGTTTTTATGTCATGTAAAACAAATAGAATTGTAAAAAAAAAATAAGGGATTATGTCATAGATTTCAGTTAAAGTGATAGATTTCTCATCAACCTTGGTATAAGGTATAATATATTTAAAAAAAGTATGTTAGATTATAAACACACATTTTTAATTTGAGCACAGTAGACTGTTGCCGAGCTCTGCTGTAAGGTCATTAGCCTTTCTGTGTGGCCTCTGCTTGTTTTTCCTGCACATGTGTAAGTTTTCTAACAGTAATTCACTTTGAAGATTATAAACTGTAAGAATCCAGGTCAACATGTTTTATGGCACAACCTCATGTTGATCTTTTAAAGACTAATACCGGCTGAAACAATACTTGTTCTGATCCACACTATGCATTCCTTCATCATATGGGTTTCAGCAGAGAGAATGACATGATAAATGTTCCTTTGAGAAGCTTGGGTGATGGAAATCCTCTCCCAAAGCCAGGTCGCATTCCACTCGTCAGGCTGAAGTAAACGTGAGATCCTGACGGTCAGTCTAATGACGCATGTGCTTATCCATAAAGTTTTTCTTCTGTGTGGAAAGGATCCATTGAGTATTTTTCCATCTCTTGCAGGATGTGACAAGCGAGGAGAAATGATAATAGCAGCAGTAATCAAAGCAATGCACAAGAAAAATATGTTTTTTATTTCTTGTGAAAAGAGGAAAATAACCAATTTTATATCATTTTAAGGTGCAGAGATGCAACCGAGACAAATATTGATTATTATAACTCATGCATTTGACATGAATCCTTTAGTAACATACTGACAGAATGCATGTAAGTAGCTCTCTATTTCCAACTATCCTGTCAAGAGAAGCAAAAGCTAAACTACTTATTTATGGGCAACTGTTTTAAATGAAGTACAGATTAAGCATCATAAAAGCATCCTCACATGCCCTACAATAAAACAACGCACATGGCCTGTAAAAGTGCAGTGTTTTGGTTGTAGTATGTGTGTATTTTGGCAACACGCCTATGGCTGATGTTGATCAAGTGTGACCACACATCCCAAAGCGGGGAAACAGATGAATGCATGCCAGTATGCATGAGTGCCATTTTCTGAAAAATTGCTATTTCTGTTCTAGGTTTTCTCTTTTTTTTTAAATCCCTTTCTCAATTCTTTTCTCCAAAAGCAGTTCTTTCTCTCATAGATTTAGAAAAAAGAAAGAACTGAAAACCGTAGAGCTTGCATTTATATTGTTTTGACAGAACTTTTTCTTGGAACTGCTGAATAGTTTCTTGGAGATTTACCCTGGCTGGATCCAACCTGTGCTGTAATGCAGGCTGTGTGGGAATGAAATCAAAACTTTTAGAGCAAAACCAAGAGTTTGAAACTATAAACAAACACTTAACCTCTTAGTGAAATACATTCAAATATGATGCTTTTTTTTGTGTGTGTTTTCCCCTGTGGTATTCCAGTGATGCAAAACCTAAAGTCTGCTCATGAGGTTTGACCACAGTTATGATGAGCCACAGAATGTCCAATTATTCATCTCAGTGAACTATTTGATGTCAAAGTGCACCTGGAAAATCACTGCTTTAACGCAGCAGGAAGCGTGCCAAGAGTGAAAGTAAGGGTTGTAGCTGTGATGTCGCAATCAAATCACATGATCTCAGTTGGCAAAAGCCAACTGTTTACATCCTGCATGCTGCTTTGTTTGCATTTACTGGAAGGCTGTCCTGTTAAAGCATAAAAAAGAAAAAGCTGGAGGATTTTTTTTTTTATCCTAAAATCATGCATTGAAAGAAAATAGACGATTAAATTAATAAAGGGTTTAGGACTAAGTGGGTTTTAATTTATTTGTTCAAACTGAAATCTGTTTTTTGTTGTGGTTTATGCTTATTTCCTTTAGAATCTTCTTAAATTGACATTTTCTTTGTCGTACCAAGAAGATTTATGTTTATGTGAGATAATCTGAAGTAGAGTAAATCATTGATATTATGGAGAAGATTTGTAACAAAATCATCCGTAGATTATCTCCCTGTTCATTGAATCCAATCTGCTAAGCGACTGTAAACACTGGCAAAATTAATTTATTTGTTTTATTAATCCAGTATCATAAACTTAAGTGAGCATATTAAATATGGCATAACTAGAAATCCATTTTCCTTGACAGATTATCGAATGTAAAAGACAAGAGAAAATATTAGTTATATTTGATAAACCTTTAGAAAAAAAAAGAATTGCATCTTGAGGTCACTTAGCACTCCATAATGATTTCTTGGAGCTTTTTACTCTGCATGCAAGCCCGTTGTACTTTCTGATATAATATTGTTGTTCACAGAGTAGAATAAATAGATTAATATAAGGAAAAACATCTCAAGTTAGCCATTCTGAACGGTGGAGGACGCCGTTTCCCTTAAAAAGGCCTTGGAAACTTTACAGAAAGGTATGAAATAAAATATTCTGTCCCACAAAAGACAAATTACGGCATCACATAAATCAATTTTAGCACCCTCAAAACCACAATAGAGAAAAGAAAAAGTATGCCTTTTCTTGACGGATTAGAAGCGATGAAGCTTTGATAACATTAAAATACACATTTGAGAATAAAAAAAAAAATCTCAGTACCAAGTTATGGCTTCCTTTAAAACACATGTGCTAGGAGGAATAAAACACCAACCACAACTAAAAAGAAAGAAAAATAACATTTGATGCTGCTGGAGAAATTTAAGCCTTTGTTTTTTTTTTCTCAGGAATATTCAGAGATGCCAGTTTTCTTTCACCATAAACCACCAACACGAAAGTAAAGGGGGTTTAAATGTGTTAAACAACTACAATACATTACACGGTGTCAGCCCTCCGTTTATTTTGGCACAACAATGTACATTACAGCACAATGAGGTCATAAAGTACAGTGTGTCCTGAGTCTGTATATAATCTTCATAATGTATGTGATCCATGCCTTCCTTATGTTAGCCTCTGTCTCTGCAGCCTGAAGAAAAACAGACCTATGATTTATTCTGCACTGACTCTACCTTTGGTGAAACAATCCGTTCCTGGCTTAGATCTGCAGCTAAATCTTCTCTAACATGTTAAGTGCATCTAGAGCTCATAGTCTGAGAGGAGACAGTAAATAGAGAACATACAAAGGTTTCCCCACGAACACATGCTGTGTGTCATTAGGCCATGTTTGATGTTTTTTCTTTCTTTCATCTCACTAAGATGCTTAGACACACAAAAACAATTAAAAATACTTATTTCCAAACTCTCAGTTTAAGCTATTTCCTACTTCCCTTTTTCCCTGGGAGTAAAACTCTACTGTCTGGTATTTTCAAATGACTTTCTTTCAGCTAAACTAATGTGTAAAAATGTGTGTAGCCTATGGACCTGTCTTGTGCATTTCAGGAATACTTGTTGATTCAGAGAAAAATTATGTGATAATAAATTCTTACATCATGATTTTTCAAAACAAAGATTTAATCTTTGACTAATGACCCTTTTTGCATTCTTTTTAGTTTTTACGTGGATAGGACTACACCCATCCACTCATTTGTGATCAGTTACAGATTTAGGTTGACTCAAAACAGCTTTTAATTAATTTATCTTAAGAATGACTAAATGCATCAAACTATTTTTGAAGAAAATGTGACAAGAAAATAATAGTATCACCTTTTTCAACCAAGTGCACTTTTGGATTGAACAATATTTATATATATTTTTCCTATGACAAAGACACCACTACTTTGTTTACCGTAATTAAAATATTGCATGCACTGATTGTTTTCCAGGTTAAAAAAAACAACAAAAACACACTGCAAAATCTTTGTGATTCTATCATACCAGTAGCACAGGCTACTGACATGATGATGAATAACATAGTAAGCATTGCCCCAAATCATTCACATGATTGTTTTCTTCTAGACTGCAGCAGTATCTCAGGTCTTTGCTGCCCTCTCCTGGTTGTATTAATCTTTTCCAAAAGCTCAAAAGTTAAGTTTTCCTAAAGTTTGTTTTAATACTATCTGGGTTAGCATTTGATAGTCTCCATTTATATTTTATTTTCTATAAATATATGTATTTTTATATTTGAAAAGGTTCTTCTGTTTTCCTATTAATTTCATACTTTGTACCCTTAATGAATAATTGCCCCTCCACTTGCTTGTGTTTCAGGGAGGTTCCATCCCTAATGTCAATATGAACCTTTACGCCACCAAAAAGACAGCAGCTGAAGGGATGCTGGACATCGCTCTGTTCCTGGCCAATATCACACACATGAAGACTGTCATTGAACAAGGAGCTGGATATCGGTATGCTGCAGAAAAGTTACAAAACATTTACATTTTTTAAGTGTTGCTTAGGAAATTCTTTGCTTACAGAGGAGTTTCCTGCAAAATGATCCTTATTTTTGGATCAGTAGTGATTTTTCACAGATTTGTAATGTTTTGGTTCTCAGGTACTATGCAGCTGTGCTGACGCTCATCTCCTTCTCCCTGGCTCTTCAGATCATAGCCGGTGTCCTGATTATTATAATTGGTGAGCATTTGGGAAAATACTTCATTTTGACCTTTTTTTTTTTAGATCTCTTTGTTTTATTAACCATATTAACACATTAACCTATTCTCACATTGGTTTTTTGTCAATTCTTGGTACAAAATGTATGTTTTTCTCTTGCATTGTGTTATTTTTGTGTGTGTGTGTGCATTGATCAATGTGTTGCAGCCCGGCGGGATTTGAATGAAGAAGCCAACCAGAAGCCCCTGGACAGCTTGAACAACAAAGCAACCCTCGCTATCTTCCTCATCTTCATCACCAACATCTTTATTTCTGTACTTGGGATGGAACGCACCGGCCTCTTTGCCAGGATGCACTTCTGACTTTCAGTTTTATGCCAACAGATCTCATTTAATACATCTGATCAGACACATAAATGAGTATAACTTACATTTCTAATCACCTAATAACACGTTTTATTTCATTATGGGTGAGTGGACTGGGGCAAAGCACCAACTGGCTATGTGTCTGTCTCCATCCTGTTGTCTGTGTGCTTGTGTTATGCTCATCTGGATGTGTGTGTCTGTTGCCTGCGTGTGTTATTGATGTGTGTGAATATGAATGTGTGTGTCTGAACAGCTCGTTTTGAGCTGAGACCCCTCCCCTCCTGCCGCCGATGTTTGAACTTCCTGAACAATCTGATCACCGGCATCATCTTCCTCACTCTTCTTATAAACATCATCAAAGCTGCGTTCGGAACACAACGCAGCTGCCTTCTGCGGTGGCTGTTTCACCGCTTTATTGTGTAACTTAGCTGACATGCAGTATGCTTATTAATCTATAGGAATATTAAAATTAAACTACCAGTAAAAAGGTAATACTGACAGTGTTTCTTAAATACTACATTTGAGGTACAGATTTCACTCTTATAGATATAGATGTGATATAAAGCATTCATTTAGGGTTATTTTTCTTCTTTTTGTTCAAAAAAATAAAAGGGTTCAGTGCTAGAGTTTGGCTCACTTTCTAACAATTTTAAGTATTTATTTAAAATAACCTCCTCAATATTCTAAATTCAAAGCTAAGTGCTTCTTTTTCAAATGCATTTGCTAAACTGCACATCTTATAAAAATATCTCACTGCCACACTCATATAAATCTGAACAATACAATTTAGATAACTTTATACAAAGGATGCCTGTTTTTTATTTTTATTTTCAATGCAGTTTAAGTCCTTGCACATAAATGTAATAGATCAAGAAATTTTAATATTTTGAAATATTAATTATTCAACTTTTCTTCACAAAAGCAGGATTGTGCCTCATTACACCAAGGTATTCCCTTTATTGTCCCACAATGGGGAAATTCTAGTGTTTACAGCTGCAAAAAGATTATAGAAAAAATTGTCACACAAATATGGACCTTAGAACATAATAGTAAAAAGTTAAAAATAAACAAATAAAACACTGTACTATAAAGTTTTTTGACAATGTAAAAACTGCACCTGGAGTATAAATAACCAATATACAGCTATGGAAATTTTTACAGTAATGAATATTTAAAAAATAGTAGTATCACCAGAGATGAGCAGTATGTTATTTACCTGACTAAGATAGAAACTGCGCAAAATCAGCATGAATGTAACAACATATTTAAGTTGTTGGGAACAGTGATGGTTATAAAGTTTTACAGCTGCTGGGAGGAAGGATGTGTGATAACGCTCACTGGTGCATTTAGGGTTCAGCAGTCTGTCACTGAATGAGCTCTCCAGTTCCACAACAGCTTCATGCATGGGATGGGTGACATTATCCAACAGAGATGTTAATATAGTTAGGATCCTTTTGTCAGCTCAGATACAGATAAGCGATCGTTCCAACAGACAACTCCACAGAAGATGGCTGATGCTGCAACAGTCATAGAAGATCTTTAGGAGCCCCGTCTGCAAAAGACACAGTCTCCTCAGCAGGAAGCAGAGATGGGAAATGTGGAGTCAACAAGTTATCTCCATGTCATGTATTTGTTCTATCCACCCACTGAAGCAGGTGAGTCCAATCTTCACTGTGAATCAACCTGTGCAGATTGGACTCACCTGGTTAATTGGCTGGGTAGATTAAATACACGACATGGAGATGACTTGTTGACTCCACATTTCCCATCTCTGGCAGGAAGCGTCTGCTCCGACCTTTCTTATACATAGCCTCAGTGTTGTGTGTCCAGTCAGCTTCTAGCTTTTCAGCTTCTAACCAAGAAAATCGTACCAGAATTGACTAATGAGCCAAGGAATTAGTTGAATATGCAAAAATGTCTACAAAATCAATTAGCCGTAGGTTTAATGTTCAAGGGATTGTCTGATTCAAAGTTCTATATTTTTAATCACATTAACATCAATTAGCACCACTATTTTAATTGTTGAATTTCTGCACAGGATCTTAAGACACCTTACTCCTCCACAGTATACCACTGGGAAACAATAGAATTTATTCTGTCCTGTTTTAATATCAGTTTGACAAAGCAGGCTTGAGGGGCGTGTGACTGAATTGTATGATTGAATGAAAAAGCTGATAGCGTGGATGTAAGCATCAACTGTATGCGTGTGTGTGTTTGATGGTAATGTGGGAAATTGTTTGCTGTGTCTGCATGTGTGTGCGTGCATGTTGTAGCCCGCAGGGACCTGAATGTGGTGTCCAATCAGAAGCGACTCGACTACCTGAATAACCTCACCACAGGCGTCATCTTTGCCACAACTGTGGTCAACTTCTTTGTTAGTTTCTTCGGATCCAAGAGGACGGGCTTCTTCCGCTGGCTGCTGGCTAGACTCCACTTCTGACTCGAGCAATGCTGCAAACTCAATCTTATGTTCGCTGATACAGTAGTTCAGCCATCAAGAAAACTTCTCTCCAGCATTGATGTTTTATATTAAATGAACACCTTGATTGAGGAGTTGGGACGAAGTTCAGGCAAATACATGAACAATTCAATTTTTTGAATCTTTCTTTTTATTCAAGCTTTGTAACTGAAAACTGTAATCCATCTTAACATTTATATTTTTACAAATGCATTTGTGGTTCTCTGCTTTGCGTAAATATAAAAAATGTGTGACTTTCATAGTTTTTAGACTTTTATACAAAGGTTGCATCTATTATCTTTTGATTATAATGTTTTAATAAATGCCTTTACTTACATATAAGCTAACTTAAAAATAAGATTAAATTCAAAAGCAATGCTTTATTGGGTTCCGCATTAGTGAGAAATCACAGTTAATATCTTTAAACTTTTACCTCCAGTATCCTGAATAAAGCAAATAACTTGAAAAAGAACCTGAGTTGTCCTTAAACTGCAGTTTGCCTGTGAAAATGATGAAATAAAGTGTGTTTTTTCTCTTTAATATTATTGGTCATTACTTATTTTTTTTTTTATTATTATTTATTATTGGTCATTATTGATTTATGAAGGAAAATATGATACAGCCTTTTTTTTGTGTGTTTGTCTGTTTGCACTGTGCATTTGCATGTAGGACGTCGAGATCTGAACAACTCCACTCTCCAAAGGCGTCTGGACTACCTTAACAATGTAACAACCATCATAGTCTTCATCACAACAGTTCTCAACTGCTTCATCAGCACGTTTGGCATGCAGCGGACTGGATACTTCCCATGGCTGATGATGCGCATACATTGATTCAAATGTCAGATGTGCAGCAGTTTTTCAAATTCTTTTTTTTCCTTCATATTATTAACTGTGCTGTGCAGCTTTGCAATAATAAAACCTCCATTATTCTTTTTTATTTTTATTTTTCAAAAACATTATGTATCATATTTATTTATCATATGAGTTATTTATAATATATAATATGATATTTATAATATATGTATTTATAATTGGTGATAAAATAAAATATGTGGCATTATTTTTCTCTGTGTTGTACACAGAGGGTCAGCTCTCTATGGTTACCAGCCTGGATGATCTCTTGATAGTAGATGATTTAGGACCAGCTTTCTAGATTATAGTTATTGTCTTCTGGACAGAAATCAGGAGTCCAATAAATCTCATGTATCTGCACAAATCACTCAGAAGTATTTTGATTTTATATATTTCATTAAAGTCCAAACAAGGTTTAAAACCACATCCAGAAAATGTGTGGTGTAGTATCAAACATTCAAAGGGTACTGTGCAAATATGATATATAATATAATACTCAACAAATGAAAAATTTATTGATGATTGTTCTTAATAATTTATTAATAAGAAATGTTCTGTGTGAGGACCAAAATAATGTGTGAGGAGACTAGAACCAACCCAGAGCCGAATCAAACTACATGTTATTAGAGATGTAACTTGGTGATGGTGAGCAGAGTTTCTGTATGTCTGCTGCCCTTAGTGAGGAGAGCAGAGCTTGATGCGTGTATGCTGGGTGCCAGGGTTCACGCATGTGTGAGAGTTTTGAAAAGTACACATTAACCTGACATGGGGGAGGAAAGGGGTAGCCAAACTTTTTATTTAGTGCTATTACTTTACTCTCAATTATTTTCTAAATTTCAATACCCATCACCTCAATATTCCTGCATCTATATCCAGATTCTGTTCTATTGATGGCATTAACCCTAACAAAGCAATGAAGCTTTCCAATCCCCTGCTTTGCCTAAAGGTTCTTTAATTGATACTTTAATCATTGCTCACTATTCAGCAGCACAGGCACTATGACAGCCCTCGTATTTTTTTTAAATCATGCAATGAGTGCAATATTGCCAAAATAAAGTTTTTTTTATTATACACA